ACTAGCAACAAGATGAGTTGTTGTTGTAGTAGCAGTATTAGTAACGAGGGCATAACAAAGCACAGTTTAAAAGCAATGGTAACAAGTGGGAATGAAGTTACTTTATGGCTCTAATGAGTACCACCTAGTTACCATCTGAAGTTACTTGTTCTGAGCATTGAAAAAGAATTTCCCAAGTTTACTGCCATTCTTATCAATAATGAGAGCTGTTTCTTTAATGTAATGAAAAGTTATAAAGCAGTAACAAGCAGCACAAGAAGGAGTAAGTTTTTATATTCTAACAAATAACAAAAAATGAATGACTTTTAAGACACTATCATGAATAAAAGAAACAAACTACTTTAAAAAAGTTGACTGTCCAAGCCCTGAGCTACAACTAGCTGCATGTACGCAACTCTACTGATGATTGTTTTTTTAAAGAGTAGCATACACATCTCTTGTTAGGGCTTTTCTAGACAAATAGTTTTTAATGCAACAGGTGTAGTAACTACCCCTGTCTCATATACTCCCCTTCCTCTGTGGCTGCGGTTGTGTTCAAAAGTTACTGGTGCTGCCAGCACAAGCCCTCCCTTTTTTTTTTACCAGGAAAATGTAACTCTTCCCCCAGGAGAGGATAACTTTTGGTGTTGTAACTACAGTAAACAGGGTGACTGGGCAAGTGCTAAAGGCTCCTTCTACTTTATACTGTTAATAGTGGGCTACATCCCTAGTGTAGTTCCATCAACAGGGGCATTTCCTGGGGGAAGATCCACCAAGAATCCTCCCACAGTTGGAAGAAAGGAAGGCAGTATTTGCCATTTTCCTCCTCTTCCTGTAGTCCCCAGATCAAGGAGAGCCAGAATGGCATAGTGGTTTGATTGCTGGAGACCAGGATTCAATTCCCAGCTCAGCCATGAAACCCACTGGGTGACCTTGGGCAAGTCACATGCTCTCAGCCTCAGGGGAAGGCAATGGTAAACCTCATCTGAACAAATCTTGCCAAGAAAACCCCATGATAAGGTCACCTTATGGTTGCCATGCGTCAGAAAATATTTGAAGGCATACAACACACACACATACATTTGTAGTCCCCAATGCTACTTTTTCCATTGTTCAAGGATGCCCCAAGCTGGAGAAAAAAAGGAAAAATGAGGTGATGGCTGCTCTCCCCCACCTCTTTGCTGCTTTTTGAAGGTGTTTTTTCCTTCCAGTTCATCTACACCATCCAAAAGGAGATAGGCAGGAGAAACAGAACTCTATACAGTATTTTGAATCGAAGTACTCGAGTTTTCAAAATGGTAGCCAAAACGTGCTGGTAGGTACAGATGGACAACTGATATTAGCAAGTGAGTGAAAGCCACCTCTACTGTGATGCTCACAAGACCTTAAAGCATAGCATCAAAATTACAACTAATGGATAGAACAAAGTGCATTGATAATATTCTCCACTAAACTACACACACACACAACAGAAGGAAAACATTTTAGATCTTGTAGGAGGTATCTTTTGGCATAGTTAAAACACAAAATAATCAAAAGGGATTATTAAGGCAAGTAGGAGCCAGCATTAACTGTTGCTGAATTCCTCCATGCCCTCAAAACAAAATTATGTAGCAATTAAGAATCCACAGGTGCTGCCAGAACAATTTACGTAATACGTTTAGACAAAAATGTCGAGCACTCAGCTACCTTGAACGCTGAAGCCTTCATCTCAGCTACAGGTTACTTTAATGGCAGTCAGTCATCTTCCGTAAGAGGCCTACACTTAACACCAATCTCCTATGTTCAGCTGTTATACACTGGCTTTATGCCCTTCAGCTATGATGTAGCAGTAGGGTGGAAGATGAAGGGCAGAGAAGCTTTGCTGGAGGCTAGACTGACCCTAATCAATTTCCCTGGGAATAAATTTAATAGTCATGTCCTAACCCTGCTGCGCTCAATAGGGATCTGAAGCTGATTCAGGCCAAGACCAAAATTAGCTGGCAAGCAGGGAGCCAAATAGCATCTCCCTCTTTGGCTGTTGATTAGTATTTGCCCATCCAAGCTTTTACTGAAGCAATGGTGGCAGCTCCACTTAAGGTTCAAATTGTCAGTGCTCTGCAGTGGTTTAGCACAAGATGATGGGAAACGCCAGCCTCCAAAAAATTATGATTCCTATCTCAAAGATTTTCTTGCTCAAGGGGGGCATGTAATAACCATGGAATGCATGTACCAACCCCATTTTCCCTGCCACGTAAGACATGCACTCCTTATCAACAGCATCATATGCAATCCCTATGCCAAGGCGGCCATACTGGGGGAAAGGGTGGGGAGAACACTTTGCTACTGCTTGCAAATCTTGCTGTCAGGAAATGGAGGGCTGTATGCTTCAGTGCAAGAGAAGAAGAGTGCACTCTTACTGGGGTGCTAGAAAGCATGATGTGTGATGATGCTGCAGAGTGAAAGTGATGATGGTGCTGCAAAGAGAGCAAGGGATGGAGATGGAGCAGCAAGGTAGTGGGGGCTTGCTTCAGACAACTTTTGTAGTAGGACAATAGCCATTAGTGAAAAGAGTTTTTAAATTCCCAAATGCTCAAAATGACACCTTTTACATGGTCATGTGCAGGATGAGTCAGTCACCAGCACCTACTAAGTAGGTCACAAATGGATATTGTTGAGTTTAGTGCAGTTATTGCACTACAGAATTAAAATGCTGAACAAGATTCAAGGCTGTTTTATTGTCTGTAACAAGATTCTTGGATTTTATTGTTTAAAATCCTAAATACAAGACCTCCACATAGCATTAGTGCATTTGTGGCAAGCTTTGAAACTGGACAAGTACAGAAGTATGGAAAGGTAAAGGAGAATTGATCTTTTAAGAAGAGTCCTGGGAACCTACCAAAGAACAGAAGGTCTTAAGGTTTAAAGCATGTAGCTCAAGTTTATCAAGACCTAGGAACTGAAATCTATGAAATATGTCATCTAAACATGTGTTGTAAAACCCTACATTCTGCTGTAGTTCACCTGCATCCCCTAGAGCAGTGCCCTCAAACTGTGCCTTTTAAGGGATTTTGGACTTCAGCTCCCAGAATCCCAGACTACTGGCCAACGTGGCTCAGGCTTCTGGGAGCTGAAGTCCAAAATCTCTTAAAGGGTACAGTTTGGGAACCACTGCCCTAGAGAGTGTCATGTACATTGGAAACCTACTGGTCAGCCTGAGTGGGCCAGATGCCTTCTTTTGTTCACTAACCTGTACCTACCATGCCCTATGAGGAGAGACTTAGGGAGCTAGGTATGTTTAGCCTGGAGAAGAAAAGGTTAAGAGGTGATATGATAGCCCTGTTTAAGTATGTGAAGGGGTGTCATATTGAGGAAGGAGCAAGCTCGATTTCTGCAGTTCCAAAGACTAAGAAGGAGCACTGGATTCAATCTATAGGTAAAGAGGTTCCTCTTCAACATTAGGAAGAACTTCCTGACAGTAAGAGGTGTTCGACAGTGGAACACACTCTCTCGGAGAGTGGCAGAGTCTCCTTCTTTGGAGATTTTTAAATAGAGGCTGGATGGCCATCTGTCAGGAATGCTTTAATTGTGAGTTCCTGCATGGCAGGGGGTTGGAATGAATGGCCCTTGAAATCTCTTCCAACTATGATTCTGTACCACTTACTGTCTTCTGCACAGTTGCTTGCCCAGCTAAGGACCTTTTCACTCTAGTCAGTGACAATATTTTGATACCGCTTTTACTACTATGGTTCTATCCCATGGAATCCTGGGATTGTCAGTTTAGGGAAGGCCCTTTGGAATTCTCATTCGCAGAGCTCCTCTGGCACCAAACTACAAGTTCCAGGATTCCACAGGATGCAACTATGGTGGTCAAAGTAGAATCACAGTGCTACAGTTGTGTAGGGCCCTAAAACTGGCCAGCCTCTTTAGTAATTCACATTTAGGGTAATGAGGAATATGTATTTCAGCCATCAAATAATTTTCTGATTTTCTGGTTAGACCAATGTCATAAAAAATTTGAGAATTCACACAACTGGAAATACAAAAGAGGTCAGCTTTGACTGAACTCACAATTCCCATGAAAGTAAGAATTTGAGCACTCAAATTTCATCCTAACAGCTTCTAATAAAAGATTATCTATTGAACTCTTGGCAATTACACAGCCCTTGGTATCCACTGGTGTTTGGTTCCAAGACTCCTTGTGGATACCAAAATCCATGGATGCTCAAGTCCCATTAAATACAATGGCATAGTAAAATGATGTCCCTTTATATAAAATGGCAAAATCAAGGTTTGCTATTTATACTTTCTTTGAATACTTTCAAGCCATGGATGTTTGAATCCATCAATAAAGAATTTGTGGATACAGAGAATTGACTGTAATTTTGCAGTTGCACTGAAGTTACATGTGGGGAACCAGAATGGTGCAGTGGTTTGAGTGTTGGTCTAGGACCCTGGACAAGGGTTTGAATCTCCAGTCAGCCATAGAAACCCACTGGCTGACTTTGGGCAAGTCTCACTCTCTCAGCCTCAGAGAGAGGCAAAGGCAACCCCCCCCCAACAAATCTTGCCAATAAAACCCTGTGATGTGGCATTCTTCAGGTCGCCATAAAGTAGACATGACTTGAAGACACAGAACAAGAGGACGTAACATGTAAATATCTATGTTAGACCTATTAATGGTATTATTTTGAATTCTTTACGTATGTTACCTACCCTTTTCTTTCTTTTTTCCCTTTCCCTCCAAATGAGTTCCTTTTAAATTATGAGCACAAGGAAACTTTTCATTAAACTTTCGTCAAGTGAAGGTCTGCATGCTTGTAAAACTATTGTGCTTTTAAGGATTTTTATAAGCTTTTGGTTAAGCTATGCATTTCTGAATTTTTAGCAAAAATCTTTCCTTTTTATTGTTTCCTATCGCTAAAGGGAATCTTGGCAACAGAACCGAGAAACTCCTCAAATAGTTGGACAAACTAGGCCGAGTAGTGACAGTCTAGCTGTGATTACCTTCGGGAGTTCCCTTGTATAAAATGAGACCTTACGACTAGGTGTGGCATAGTGGTTTAAGTGCTGGACTATGACTCTGGAGACCATGGTTCAATTCTGGGCTCAGCCACTTGGTGCATCACACATTCTCAGCCCCAGAAAACTATATTATAGGGTCGTCTTAGGGTTGCCATAAGTTGGAAATGGCTTGAAGGTGCACAACAACTACTGGGTGAGCAATTTCTTCTCCCAGATGTGTAATCATCTGTTTACATTCTGGGACAAAGTTTGTATCATTTGATGTACATGCAAACCATAAATCGTATAAGACTAGTTGCTGTGTGTTTCTTCTGTGCAGGTTTCAGCTATGCAACTGATGGTTGCTTTGATGGAAGGGCTAAAGACTTCAGCCAGAAATCCCTGGTAATTGAGACAACATATGAACCTTCAATTTAAGAGTCAGATTCTTGGACTATCATCCCTATACCATCTGTTCTGTATAACTGACATGGCAGGATTTAGGAGACTTTGGCCTAGCTAGCACGAGGTCACAGGAGTGATCAGTTTAGGAAGTCAGTCTGGGAGAGAGTCTCAATAAGTCAGTGTCAAGCCTTACTTCAATAAACTTCCTGAACTAGCCTGGCTCTAAACCTTGGAAAAATCCACAGACAGATGCGTATCTGCCATTCCTTTTTCCACAATGGGTGGGTGCCAGGTGGCTGACAAGTGGTGTACTTGTTTATTGTTGTTTAAGTCCCTGAGGTTGCCAAGCCAATGTTAGCTCAATGAAAAGACAACTACACTGCAGCCTGGGTTTGGACAGTGTGAAGCATGCAAGCCAAAACAGACCAGAGTTCTAGAGAAGAGGGGGAGAAATCTGGAGGATGCTTTTGTCTGAAAGAACATCTGAGAAACAAGCACAGATTTTTCCATGATTATCAGAATTCTCAAAACCCATCCTGATTTAACTAGTATGCTGTCTTCATGAGAGTTTGACAGCTATTAATTCCAGGGACTAATAAACTAATCATCATCATCATCATCATCATCATCATCATCATCATCATCATCATCAGACTGTTTAGTTGCCTTGTTGGCTAGCAGCAATGAAACTACACAGGAAGCTAAATGAACAATGATAATCTGCAATATGTTGCCCTCAAATATTAACCTCAAGTTTGTTTCCCTAGGGAAAGTTCTCATTTTTTTTTACTAATGAGAACTGGAAGGTTAAAATGATATTAGAAATGACAACTACTTTCTATCATCGGGTCCAATGGCAAGAGCTAGGTAGAAGATGCAGGAAATCTTGCACCTTGCTCCAACCTTAGACTTTACTTCCTTTCCAAGGAAGATTGCAACTGGATCTAAACATGTCTCTTCCTGTGCAACAGAGCCAGGTGCAGCACCGAGGAGAGATGCCAACGGCAAAAGAGTAATAGGGCCAAAGAGGAATCAGATGTTGTACAAGCTTCTATTTTAGACCATGCGGCGGTGCCAAAACATTACTGTCACAGCTTTGTTTAAACATACTTGAGGATCCATGAACAGACTGCACTCACTTTCTTCTGCTTGAGAGAGGTTGTAATGTATAGTACAGACAATGCAAAGACCTACTTTCTATTTCCAACCCATCACCTGAGGTAGAGTTCTCCGGAAATCAAGATATAATCAATAATAGAAATAGAGTATGATTTCACACCAATTTAAGAATCAAAGCTGTAGCCTTGGCTGGTGGTGGAAAGAAAGAGCAAAAGTAACAAGGACCAGTCTGTGTCTCTCACTCACAATGCTTTGTCAGCTGAAGGCTGGAATTCCCTATGTCAAAAAAGTTAGATTAGGCATTTAAAATGAAGTAAGATAAAGTGATTTCCTGCCAAGTGAGAAGTAGCCAGAGGAAATCCTGCAAAAATGGGGACAAAAGTAAAAGAATCTAATAAGAAATTATTTCTTAGTAATGCCATATCTTCCAACAAGTACCAAAAAGGTTAAGTTCTCCCCCAAACATGGCAGGACGCCCAGGTATGCCTCTTATTCTTCATAGTCCCATGTTCTGTATTTTCTCTGTTTCTGTAGCCCAAGGTGTACATCACATCAAATGCACAGAACCATAATCCAGAGATAGGCAAATATAACCAGTGTCAAGGTTCTCCCAACTTTTGGCAGAGTACATCTCCCACCAGCCCATGACACTGGTTATACTTGCTAGGACTAATGGAAGTTACAGTCCCTAAATACCTGGAGGGCCTAGATTTCCCACTTCTGCCATAATCAAAGAGCTATTTTATAACAGGGAAAAAAACCTTTTGACTGGGGGCAGAGAAGGGACAGGGAAGAGACACTTTCCCCAGACATCACTTGCTCCCTCCCAAAGCTTTCTCCCAGGAAAGGGCAGGATTTGAAGCAGAGAAATGCTTATTGGGAAAAGAGCCTGTTCCTGCTCACTTCATGGCTTTACTTATCTCAAAATGGCTGATGAATCACCACTATATTTCCTATAGTTTAGGCTAGTCTCTCATGTTACTTCAGTAAGCAGTTTTTCCCCCCTGTCTGGACCTTCATTCTTTGCAATAGATCACTGCAGGCATAGAGTTTGTAAAGATGGTCCACTAAAGTCAGGATTTAAATCACTTAGTGGCTAGCAGTGCGACAGAGCTGGTTTAGTTGGTGTAATTGAAAAACAATGTGTTCTAAGTCCAAAATTATAGTCAGAACCTAGGAAGCCCTACTATCACTTAGAAATGGTGTGTATGTATGTGTGTGTGTGTGTGTGTGTGGCTGGGAGATTCAGGGAATTGTAAATTAAAAAACAAAAACAAAACGATTTTTCCAGCTCTGATGTCCCTAAAGGGAAGCAACTTGCCTTTCAAAGTCAGACAACCTAGCACAAATAACTGAGTGGACAGTAGTCACAACCCAAATGTCTGTCAGAATGTTAACACACCCCATCTGATGTCTTCTTTGGGAGAGATCAGTGACACGATCCACACTGAGCTACCAGTATATGCAAACATATTAAGGGGAACGTAGTAGCAATTGCTTTGGACCTGTACAGGTTAATTTTGGGAGGGAACCTCACATCCATCCCTACACCCCACAAATCCGTGCTCCGTTGTCAACTCACTCTGCTCATTCCAGGCAGCTGTGTGTTCTGATTCATAGGCTGTCTCTCCATAGTCAGGTGCCCCCGCATCACTCCGTGGCCCCCAGTAAAAGATCCGCCCTGCTAGATTTTCCAGTTTCTGAAGTGCCGACATCTTATACCCTTTGTTCTTGCTGGAGTTTTGAGAGTTCACCTCAGCTCCATGGTTCATGTTTCCCTTTATTTTAATCACCAGTTCTTTTGCCTGGCCCAGCTCTGCTCTCACAGCAAACACAAGGAGGCCACTCTGTCAAGATCTAGGATCTAGGAAAGCACTTGCCTCAGTCATTGCCATTTGCTAACAGGTAGGGACAGATACAACCCTCTTCCTGTCCTGCTGCAAAAAGAGAAGGGTGAAAGAAGCAACAGGAGAGCAGACCCAGCCCAGCCTCAGCAGAGCTCTTTACATTCCTGTCCAATTGATTGTGACAGGCATTTGATTCAAACAGACTGCTCCCGACTTCTAACTGGAGAGAACTTCCATCAAACCCACTTCTATGAACCAAAACAGTCATGACAGTTCAGCAACTGGTACACAGCAATTTAGGGCAGCCATCCATGAGCATAGCAGGATTTCCCAACCCCCACAACATCCAGGAAAGATCCAAGATCATCCAGTCCATATTCTCCTTCTGTGCCTTCAGTAGAAATACAGGCAGCCTGGTCATTTACATAGCTGGTCAGAGGGTGAACAGCGGGCAGATTTGATTAATAAACAAGGAGGGAGGGAGGCTTGCCAGATCAACTGTAGGGAGGGCCACGTAATAAAGCTTAAAATAGCTTAGAGATTCTCTGAATCTTTTTCACCCTCAGGCCTGAAGGTAGGGCAAATAAGGCTCTATCAGGTAGAGAAACCCTGCAATTCAGGATGATTCTCCAACACAAAGGAGGGAGCAAAAATTCAGAAGACAGAGCAGTTCCGATAACTCAGTGAATAACCACATGCCAATGCAAACAACTTGGGCTATAGATGCAGTCTCTAAGACACATGCAAAAGAAGAGCTTATTCAGGTCTATACCCACACAGATGCTCTATGTTCTGGTGATGGAAACTTCCCTTTCTGAATGCTAAGTGGCATTCAGCACAATGTCTTTCACTGTAACCATGCCCTGTAGAACCTATTTCTAAACACACCCAAAGAGCTCAGATCCTTTAAACGAAGCACAAAATGCGTGCATTGCTGCAGAGTCCAAATACCTGGAAAGAAAACAGTCTCTTGTTTCTGTAAACAAACTTTGCCTTGCCTAAATCCAAGATTAAGAACCCACTGGTAGATGAAACCACCTGTAACTGACAAGGAATAGGTTGGGGGCAGAACAGAAAGTAAAAGGCAAATGTCTCTTCCTGTTATGGATTGCTTGCCTACGAGATCTATGTTTAGGACAATAATCCAAATGTCACAGTGGCGATCTCAAGAAAAAAAGTGGGAAAAGTTATTGCTTTAGCCCCCCAGAGCTACGGAAGATGTAAAAGACCAGCCGGCCAAGCAAATGCATCCACAGGAACAGCTGGGTCCAAAACTGGAAGTTGAAGGCGGAGCTGCTTTCCCATGTAGTTTGAGGACTGCTGGGCTCAGGGTCCATCTCTCTCTTTTCAATCATAGTTCTGCTCCTTACGCTTTCAACGCAGAGACAGATTTAAAGCCCATTACTAATTCTTCCAATACTGTAACTCTCTGCCCTTCCTCAGAGCAGAGCTGGCTTGCAATTCAGAGGCAGCCTGGAGGCCAAAGCTCCACTTCTAGACAAGGACAGCAAGCACAGTGGCAGGGTAGCTTGCAGTATTGTTTCAAGAAAATCCCCAAAGGAACAGCCTTGAAGTGGGAAGAAGAGAAGAGGCTAGGCATGATGCCAGGTTTCCAGAAAGCCCTTAAAGGAACAGACTCCCGCCTCTTCCTCTGTACAAATAGCCATCCTAGTTGACTATGAAGAAACTGCACACTCCCCAACCATTTCGGCACTTGTAGATGGCTGACTGTCGGTGGAGA